CTCAAAGACTTTCAAGATAAAAATCTAAATTCCTTAGCCTGGAATTCATTGCCTACCAGCTGGTCTCCAGGGCTCCAACCTTAAAGGCTATAGTAACTTTAATTCTGTATAAATAAAGCATATACCCAAATCCCTGGTCTTTGGATACTCTCCTCTTTCTCTGCCTCTCCCCAACCATCTTCTCCACCACATCATGGACCTAGTCCTACTGAACACGTCCCAGACCACGGCAGTTGTGGGGAGGGGTCGCCTCCTTCAGGCCCCCTGCCATGCAATTCCACTTAACTTCTATCACAGCACAATTATCTTACTAAAAAAAATGTCCAACCGGGCAATGGCTTCTAAAGAGCTTTGCTTCCACAGCTTTGTAAAGCAAAAAAAAAAAAAAAAAAATTCCACTGGCCCCCGAAAAAGATCTAAGTGTGGCCAGCTTCCTAAAGTATCCTCTATTAAGCCAGTACTAGACTGAGGTATTTTCCCAACACGGACTATTTCATCTCGAAAAATTCCAGGTTCTAACAGTCCACGTGTGTTTGTCAAATGACTCAGTCACAAAATGACTATTTGAAAATGGACAGCAGACAATGGAAAATTTGAAAAACGTACCTCGGATGCTATAATCTGTAACTAATTCAAACTGTCACCTAGCAAGGCTCTAGCAGCACTCCATCATGTAGACAGGAAATAAATTTACCTTAAAGCCCTCCAAATATGGCCCTCAGAAATCCTACTAAGTTCCCCTAGACAGTGAAAAAGTCTAAATGAATACATCCCTTTCCGGAGTTTTCAACAGTTAAGTGTCGGGGTTATAATCAAAGGAAGCTTTTCTCTTGATTTCTAAGGACCAGTAACCATGGTATTTTGTTCCTCCCCACCTAAGAGAAAAACGAACCTGAAATCTTTTCCAGATTTGATGTCTAACAATATAGCTAGCACTTAGTGAACGCCGACAGAAATGCTTAATTACATTCACTTGTAATCCTCATAAACTCTTAATTTTCACACATTAAAACAGGAGAGAAGGCCGGGCACAGTGGCTCACGCCTGTAATCCTAGCACTCTGGGAGGCCAAGGAGGGTGGATCGCTCAAGGTCAGGAGTTCGAGACCAGCCTGAGCAAGAGCAAGACCCCGTCTCTACTAAAAAATAGAAAGAAATGATCTGGACAACTAAAAATATATATAGAAAAAATTAGCCGGGCATGGTGGCGCATGCCTGTAGTCCCAGCTACTCAGGAGGCTGAGGCAGGAGGATCGCTTGAGCCCAGGAGTTTGAGGTTGCTGTGAGCTAGGCTGGCGCCACGGCACTCACTCTAGCCCGGGCAACAAAGTGAGACTCTTGTCTCAAAAAAAAAAAAAAAAAAAAAAAAACAGGAGAGAAAGCAAATGTATACAGAGAGAAAGTAAAATAGACATTACCAGGGGCTACAGAGGAGGGGGACTAAGGGGAGTTTTTATTTATTGGCTACAGTTTGAGATGATGACAAAGTTCTGGACATGAATAGCAGGGATGATTGTATAACATTGTGAATGTGCTCAATGGCACTGACTTGTACACTCAAAAATGGCTAAAATGGCGAATTCTACGTTATGTATACTTTGCCATAATTTTTTTCTAAGAAGTGAAAAACACAATTTGTGCCCAGGCTTCCCCCTCCCAGCCTCCCGGGCCGCTGGATCTTGGAATCCCAGCATCCCTCTCAAGTGGCTGTAATGAGGACGCGTGGGTTTCCAGGGGGCACAAGCTGATGCTACCTCCTTTAAGTAAACTTTAAAAACCAACGAGCCCAGACAGTGCTCCCAGCGGGACTCGAAAAGGGGATGGAGTCTGGAAGTGGGTGAGCACTCCTAACGACGCAGGACAGCTTGCCCTGAAACAAGGAAGAGGGTGTTAGTCCCCTCCCCCACCCCGGACTTTTCTGCTTGTCTCTAAGGGTGAACCCTGAGCCGGCACATCCCATCTGTCCGCTAATTCCTACTGCGCACCTGGGGAGGCGGCGCGGGAAGCGGCGAGGGACTTGAGCCGGGGCCAGAGCGTGGGGCGAGGGGCGGTTCCGTGGGAGGCACTTCCCGCGGGGCGGGGAACCGGGTCGTGGCGAGCGCGGGGGAGGGGGGCAGAGAAGGAGCCCACGACCCGGCCTCGCGGCCCCTCCCCGACACCTCTCCAGCCGCCCTACCGGTTACCCCGCCGACCGCGCGCTGAGCCCGGCGGCGCGCGCTCCCTCCCCTCCCCCGACTTTACGGATCGGGAAACTGAGGCCCGGGGCGGTGTGGGGGTGGTGGGTGAAACCACGCGCCCAAGGTCACCCGCCCGGCAAGCGGCAAGGCTGGCCTCGCACTCGGGGGCGCTCCGGGCCCAGGGCCCGCGCCAGCAACCCCGTGCGCAGAGGCCTGAGACCTCGGTGTTGGGGCCGGAACCGGCCCGGAGGGGCTGAGGGAGCTGAGGTTCGAGGCCTGGGGCAGGGGGCGATACCAGAGGCGCCACCAGGACCGCCCGCCTCCCTAGTCGCGGCCTGGGCCGCCCCAACCCTTAGCAGGCCCCGCGGGAAAGGCCGGCGCCGAGGCCGCGCCGGAGGTAGGCCGCCAACAGACCTAACCGAGCCGCCGCCAACCGCCGAGAGGAAGCCCGCCCCAAGGTTAAGGGACCGTGGCATACTCACCCCTTCGGGCCTGGAGCCCCGTTGCCGGTCGGCACTCCGGGCGCGCCGCTCTCCTCCTCCATTTTGATCTCCGTCGCCGCCACCTCGGCCGCCGCTTCGACCCCTGCCGCCATTTTCTCCGCGTCTGGGCTTTGTGTGAGGGAACGGGCTGAGCAGTGCTGCGCCTGCGCGCTCACGTGACCCGGCGCGACCAGTAACGCCTGCGCGCGCCGCTGCGGGCTCCCTCTTTGGCCCCCTCCCGCTCCGGGCCACGCCTCTACTCCGGGCCATGGCCCCGCCGCGCGCAGGCGCAGACCGGCAGCTGTGGATTCATTCATTCCTTAGACCAACTCGCGTTAGGCATCACCTGGGCTGTGCCGCTTGCCTGACCTCGGAGTCCCGTAGAGGAGGCATCTCCTCACCGACCCCACACTCACCTACATACCCGGACCTACTCACTCTCAGCTTTCTGCAACCAGAGCTGGGCAGAGAGACAGAGAAAATTCTGTGTGGGGGGTTCCTGGAAGGTTTAGGGGATTATTAAAGACATTTTAATATTATTAAAGATCATTAAAGTTTGGCTAATGCCAAACTAAAACTATTTTTTCTTCCTTTTTTTTCTTTTTTAGTGTCTTTTTTCTTTGTATCCCCTGTTGATGTTCTAAAACTCATAAGGAAGCCAGCCAAACTAAGACTTTCTTCTCACTGTAATGGGAAGTATTAGAAGAGATGTGCAAAGAAAATGGCTTTCTCTCTTCTTGATGGCATGTCCTGGAGTATCCTTGCAATCATCTCCCCAGGCACCACGCTCCAAAGTCGGCTTGAGGAGAGGTGGATGCCAGGGTGTCGGGGAAGTACAGGTGCAGGAATGAGGTGGGCCCCCAAGGGCCAGGAGAGCTAACACACCTGGGTGTGATCCTGTGTTCAGACAGACCACCGGCCCATGAGCCACCCTACGAGGCCCCGCCCATCTCTATGAGCCCCCTGCCCATCTCTATGAGCCCCCTGCCCCTCCAATGCTACTCCAGCCATGCCGTCCTCCCTGCTGCTCTTCCTACAGGCTAAGTAGGTTCCAGTCTCTGGGGGGCCTTTGCACTTTGTGCTTTCTTCTACTCTCACAGCCACATCGGCTTCACCTTGCCCTTCCAGTTGGGGCAGAAACTGTTTTTATTCCTCTGTGGGCAAGCTACATACCAAGCAGGGATTCATGCAGAAAACAGACCTTGAGCAAGTGACCCCACCACTCTGAGATTGCTCATCTGCAAATGTGGTTATTAAGAAACCCCAAGGGGCCAAGGCGGGTGGCTCACGACTGTAATCCTAGTACTCTGCGAGGCCGAGGCGGGAGGATCACTTGAGGTCAGGAGTTCAAGACCAGCCAGAGCAAGGGTGAGACCCTGTCTCTACTAAAAATAGAAAAATTAGCCGGGCGTAGTTGTATGTCCTGTAGTCCTAGCTACTAGTCCCGAGGCTGAGGCAGGAGGATTGTTTGAGCCCAGGAGTTCGAAACCAGGCTGGGCAACATAGGGAGACCCCCTCTCCAAAAAAAATTGTGTTTTAATTAGCCAGGCATGATGGCAGATGCCTGTAGCCCCAGCTACTCGGGAAGCAGGAAGACTGTTTGAGCCAAAGAGTTTGAGGTTACAGTGAGCTATGATCACATTCATGCACTCCCGCCAGGGTGACAGAGCAAGACCCTGTCTCTGAAAAAAAGAAATCCCTAGAACTCCCTTTTCAGAGCCACTGTGAGCATTAAAAGCAGGCAGATGCCAAAAGCTCTTAAATTTAAACAGCTCACCTCACAGAAAGCACTCAAGGAGTAGGTGTTGTCCTTAGCATGGCCACATTCTGAATCTCTCCTGAGTCCTCATGGGAGATGGGCCACGAAGCTCAGCACTGGGACAGGGCAGACCTGACCTGGAGTCACCCCAGCTCTGCTTCCTACAGCTGTGGGACCTTAGATAAAGCCTTCCCTACCCTGGGCTTCAGTCCAGGAAATACCATTCCTTCCCCCAAGAGGGGAGGGAACCCATGAAGGCTCAGAAGTGGGCCTCGCCCATAGTGACCCTTAATAAGTGTGGATACTGTCACCTGAACCCAGGAGTTTGAGGCTGCAGTGAGCTATGATTACGCCACTGCACTCCAGCCTGCGCGACACAGTTAGACTCTGTCTCCAAGAAAAGAAAAAAACATCATTTATTGTATAACCCTGCTACCCGCTCTTCACTTGAAAACTCACACTTTGCTTTGTCCTGTGGGCTTCAAAACAGATGCCTCAAAATGAGCTGAGTGGCGTTTGTTTTTTACCTCCACGTGGTCCCTCACTGTGAGGCCTTGGTTCAGAAATGTAACTGACAAGTCCCTTTTGTCCAGCAAGGGCTCCTTTTATTCAATCAGGGGTGGGTTTTTGAAACACAGTGCAACTTTATATAAAGTCGAGGGTGCCAGGAAAGCGAGCCTGCCAGGTGCGGAGAAGCGCAAGAAGCTTGCTGGAACCTTCCAGCCCAAAGGGTGCCCTGGACACACTGGCCACAGTTGCTGGCCCACAAGGTGCCAAATGGACCTCAGAATGAGATCAGAGCGCCTGTTCCATCCAAAGCAGCCCAGGACCACCCTGTCCATCTGTCCTTGTCGTGTACAACAGTGTGCAAAAAACCTGAAAATAGATTCACACACAGAATCACAGAACAGGTTCCATGTGGTGTCTCTTGGCCTAAGAAGCGCTCTGGCCGTGCAGGAAGGGTCGGGCAGTTTCCGTCCTTCCAAATGCCAGGGCATCGCCAGCTACCTCTGGCCTCTCTGCCGCAGGGCCCCACCAGCCTCTCTTCACACGGGCGTCTCCTCTGCCACCTTCTTCAGGAGTCCAGCTGCCAGTGGGGAGTGCTGGGGGCCCTCAGAAGCATCCACGTCCCGGATCTTCAAGCGCACCTTCTGGTTGGTCTTTCTCCACTCCGAGTACAGCTGGCAGTGGTAGCGGAAGGAAACCTGCAGGGGAGTCCTGTGGTGAGCAGGAAGGCCGAGAAGGTCTCCACCCCCAAGGAAGGCACACAGGCCCCCGTGGCACCTGCCTTGGTCCAAACCAGGGCTGGGCTTTGCTCCCAGAAGCAGAGCCGGCATGTGGGCATTCCTTGTACAAGCTGTGCACACACACACATCCACCCTCCTGGAGACACTCCCCACCAGCTTTCAGCATCCTGCAAAGGCAAGGCACCCTTCACCCCAGCACGGAGCTCCCTTTCTGCCCCTCAGGGGGAAGGGAGTGAAACAGCCTCTTGGGAGGGACGGAGTGTCAATCAGCTACACAACTGCCCAAATTTGGCAGTACCCAAGAAGCTCCTCTGTAGAAGCTATGATGATGCCGCTGCACTCTACCCTGGGCAACAGTGCAAGACCCTGTCCCCCATGGATAAATAAATGGTGATGCAACCAGAAAATGGAATTTCATTGGGTGCTAAAAAGACATGAGCTCTCAAGCCATGATGTGGAAGGCCAGGTGCAGTGGCTCATGCCTGTAACCCCAGCACTTTGGGAGGCCAAGGCGGGAGGATATCTTGAACCCAGAAGTTTGAGGCTGCAGTGAGCTCTGATGATGCCACTGTACTCTAGCCTGGGCGGCAGAGTGAGATCCGGTCCCCCCCAAAATAAATAAATAACACTAAATGTCAGTGGTTTATACCTTTCGACCAAGCAAGTTCCCAAGAAACCTTTGCACGGGCGCTGCCCAAAGCACTATTCATAACAGCAAAAAAAAACCAAAAAAAAAAACAAAAGACGGTTGTGGGGGAAGAAAAGCACACATTGGAAAGCATCCCAGCATCTGTCAAAAGGGATTGGTTAAATAAACACGGTACACCCATACAATGAATGCCTGCTGGGGGGCAGCCTTGTTGTTTTTCTTTTTTAAACGACACTAGCAAAATGAAAACAAGCAGACTGCAACGCGGTAGCTATGATTTCATCCTATTTATATTTTAAAATATATGCTAGCGGTGGGCGGAGCTCTTTCTCTTTAAGCAAAGGTTCTAATTTTATCCAGGAGTCTAGGACAACTCCCCCACCTCGGTCACTCTGTCTCTGTCTTTCCGGTCTCTTTCTTGTTCGGTCTTCGTGCCTTTTTTTTTTTTAGAAACAAGGTCTCACTCAGTTGCTCTGTTGCCCAGGCTGGAGTGCAGTAGCGTGATCACAGCTCATCTGCAGCCTTAAATTCCTGGCCTCAAGGGATCCTCCTGCCTTGGCCTCCTAAAATGCTGGGATTATAGGTGTGAGCCACTGCCCTCATCTGATTTCTTAATGTCTACCCATTCCCCGTCCATCTTGCTCTCTCACTCTTTGGCTCCTCGCCTCCCCCCCACCACCAGCCTTGGGGGTTCATGGATGGGAGGCGTGTCTTGCACTTGGGACTAGCAAGCAGGTGCACTTGGACCCTTAGAGCACAAAGCTCACACCTGGCTCGGGGCTTCTTTGGCCCTTTGTCACGCGTCGCATGTGGAGCTCCAGGAAACGCAGGGTGAGCTTGGGGGCTCCCTCCCACCCGGGGCCAAAGGCAGAGGCAGCCAGCCAGGGACCCCCCCGCAGCCCACCCCCCACCGCCATCACTGAGCTGCTCCGGGTGGGAGAGCCCCAGACGTCTGCCCCGCGGCTGGCGGCCACTCACCAGCGTCCAGAGGACGTAGATGGTGAAGAGGGCGATGGTGAGAGCAATGAGCCCCACGGCCTCGAGCCGGCTGTGCAGCCGCAGGTGATCCTGGGCCCCGCGCAGGCACAGCCAGCCCGAGATGGCGGCCAGCGGTGTGATGAACAGGAAGCACACCATGTCGCAGCACAGCGTCCGCTTCTCCGTCCTGGGCCCTGGGTCCTTCAGCCACTGCAGGGGGAGCCGATGGGGGAAGGGGCTGCTGAGGGCTTGGGGACCCCCAGGCTCCGTCCTTCCCTTCTTTCAAACACTTACTGAGCCTACAGGAAGCCAAGCCTTGCCAGGCGCTGGGCACTTTTGCACTCATGTTACAGATGGGGAAACTGAGGCACAGAGGGGGTCAACTCACTGGTGCAAACTCACACAGCCAGTAGTCTGCAAAGCCAGGGTCGGACGGAACCCAGGAAGTCTTGCTCCAGGGCCTGAGCACCCTTGGCCCATATCCTGCCATGCTCGGCCTCCCCCGGACAATGGGCAAAGAGAAATGGGCTTCGCTCCTGAAATCCTGGGGCTCGGGACCCACAGGGTCCCAGCCCTCCCATGCTAGCCGGGGAGGTATGACGTGGTGTTGCCCCATATGTGCCACACTCTCTGCAACACGTTCCCATCATAGCACCACTGCTCCCAGCAACCACTGCTTCGTTGGTTTACTGGACTTGAATCTCCGTGAGCACCAGCCTTACGTGCCTTGTTGGTGGTTGGGTCCCCAGCGTATAGCAGAGTGCTGGGTGCCCTGGAGGTGCTCAGTAAATATTTGCTCATGAAAGAGTAAATCCAAACAGCACGGGGGTACTGGGTTTGGCAGGTCTACAACCTCAGGCGTGGTCCCCCACCCCCATCAGCAGAATCTACCTGGGGAGGGGTGTAGGGAGGTCCCTGGCCCACCAGCATCCCCTAGGGTAGCTCCTGCCTCCGACCTCCATGCCTGCCTTCTTCCCCTCTGCCCACCCCCCTCTCAGGCTCCCAAGGGTACCTCTGTGAGGGGCCGCGGCCGCTTCTCCACCGCAAACTCCGTGTGGCACAGCTCACAGTAGCTGGTGTTGGACGAGGACAGCCATCTCTCCAGACAGCTCTTGTGCACGGCTCCCAGCGTGCCGGTACAGCCACATGGAGACAGCAAACTCTCCCCGTTTGCTCCCTCATGGCAGATCCGGCAGAAGGGACCATCACTGGACACAGAGAGAGGATCCGTTAGCAATGATTGGGCTTCCTGCCTGCATCTCCTTCACTACCTGCTAGATCACGAGCTCACTGTTGTCTCCATACTGCCACTTGGCGAACTTCTACTCATCCTTCAATGCCCAGCTCCAAATGTCCTCTCCTTTGGGAAGCTTTCTAGACTCCTACAGGTAGAGGGATATGCTCCCTTCCCAGGACTCCTGTGGCACCTTTTTAAGCCCACAGCAAGCATCTCTTGTACCTGCCTACCCAGTGTCCTCTCCCTGCCCTGCAACACCACCCTGATTGTCCTGGGCAACTACCCTACTCTCAACTCTTGGTCCTCAAAGACCAGAGCAGAGCTGACAACACCCCTGCTGACCTCAGGCCTGACCAATCAGGACATCACACACCCCTGGTCACGGGGACGGACTCAGGGAAGGGCTTGTGTGATGCAATCAGAGCCACCAGGAACCAATTCCTGAAATTCCTTTTTTTCTTCCCCTAAACTCCAGAACCATCAGCAGCAAGGCTGACTTAAGCCTGGAGCTGCTGGCAGCTGCCTGGTCTCTGCGCAGAGTTCATGAATGATGCCAACACAGAGGAAAGCAAAGGCATGAGACAGGGAAAGGTGGACATCATCGGAGCCCCTGGATCTAGCCACACCTGAAGGCCACACTGCCTGAGAATCCTATGCATCCAGACAGAAGTGCTCACCTGCTGCTCTGCTCTTGTGAGAGGGAAACAGACATAAAAAGCAGCCGCAGAAAGCTGCCTCGGGAAAGTCTCCAGTCCCCAGGGATGCTGCGTCCTTCCTGGGGTGGCCCAGGAGGCGGGGGGTGTGGCCTTGGCGGGCCGGAGCATGAGTCATTGTTTCCCAAACATTTCTGCCCAGAACGCAGACATCGGAGCACAGAGAAGAGCTATTTTCCAGATAACACCGTTTCCCCTCGGAAATGACTGTCTTCTACCCTCTTCTCAGACTCTCCTGCTGTGGGGTAAGGCGTGGCTGCTTTAGAAGAGCCTGCTTTCGGGGCTGCCTGGTGCCTGGGCTCCTATCTTCTCCCACAGTGGCCAAAGGGCATGCACGCCCTGGTCCCACCGTTCTCTCCCCACCACACACACACACACACACACACACACACACACACACACACACACCCATGCAGGCATGCGCATGCACCCCCATGAAGGCATGCGCATGAGCTCGCAAAAAAAAAAAAAAGTTAACACAAACAAAATTGCTCCGGAAACCAGCTCTGTGACAAGAAGTGTCAAGAACCTTCAGGAAGAGCCATGTCATTTTGTTCTGGGAAACCCTGGAAAACTTGCGAAGAGCAAATTCAGAGGAAAGAAAAAAAAAACAACCAAAGCTTAATATTTATTGAGCATTTACTACACACTAGGCACTATTCTAAGAGCAACATCTGGATTCATTTATCTCATTGTCACAATGAGCTTAAGAGGAAGATGCTATTTTTTTTGTTTTTAAAGACAGAGTGTTGCTCTGTTGCCCGGGCTAGAGTGCCGTGTCATCATCGTAGCTCACAGTAACCTCAAACTCCTGGGCTCAAGTGATCCTCCTGCCTCAGCCTCCCAGAGTACTAGAATTATAGCCATGAGCCACCGCACCTGACCCTTTTTTATTTGTTTGTTTTTAAGGGACGGGATCTTGCTCTGTCACCCAGGCTGGAGTGCAGGAGTGTGATCAAGATCCCGCCTGTACAAAAAAATAAATAAATTAGCTGGGCATGGTGGTGCACACCAGTAGTCCCAACTATTCAGGAGGCTGAGGCGGGAGGATCGCTTGAGTCCAGGAGTTTGAGGCTGCAGTGAGCTATGATGATGCCACTGCACTCCGGCCTGGGTGACAGAGCAAGACCCTGTCTCTTCAAAAACAAAAAGGGGTGGGGATGGACAAGGGCTGGGGATGTAGACATATTCGAGGCAGCTTTGAAAAGGGCTCAGCTCACTCACAGCCTGGTGGGCAGAGAGCCCAAGACCCTGAGTCCTAGGCTTTGTAGACTGTTCTGGACCCTGGAGACATTTCCTGGGCCTTCTTCTTTGACCTCTGTAGATTTCAGAGTCCAGAAGGCTCCGCCCCACCTAGTCTCTGCCAAGGTCTCTGCCATGTGCCCGCAGGAATCAGGGTCTGCTTGGAAGCAAATGGAAGACTTGATTTCTATGGTCTTGGAACCAACCAAGGCACTGGATGTGACATCTTTAAGTCCTATGCTGCTCTCCAATGTCGGACGCTAAGAAGAGGAGTTACAGGGTCAGCAGGGGACTCTGCTGACCTGCTGTGTGTGGCCTCTGCCAAGCCCAGCTCCTCTCAGAGGTGGGAGGAGGCAAGATCCCCATTTACTTCTTGAGAGAATGGTGGGAGGCTGGAAGGAAGGCCACATCCCTGGGCCTCTAGCCTGGGAAGGTTTGGATTGAGATGTGTTCAAAGGCAGAGGGGAGAAGGGGAAATGAGACCCTCAGTGGCTGAGCTGCCGGCTGGGGAAGAAGCTGCCGGCAAAGGGGCCAAGGAGCAGATCCGGGGGCCCCTGTGGCCGCAGGGTGCCAGGCAGTCCTGACCACCAGCCATGCCTTCACTGGGCCAAACCTAAGAAAGGGTCCCTGAGAAGCAGCACGCAGTGGCCAAGACAGGAGAGGGGACATCCAGGATCGCAGAGGGGCCGCTCTTGCTGCCTGCCGCATGCCTGTGGGCTCTGTGGGCTGGTGGGACCAAAGGAACTTCCCTCTCCTGAGCTGGAGTCCTGGGTTCAAGCCTTAGGTGTGCGCAGTAACAGGTGGGTGTCCACCTCCCTTGGGGCCTGGGTTTCCCCAGATGTAAAAGGGGAGGGTGGAGCAAGGTGGGGTCACGTAGGGAGACCCCAGCTACAGCCAGCCTCCTCCGCTAGGCCCACCAAGGTTCCCCTCACTCGGGGCCTGGCTCGACCAACACGGACTCGTTTCTTGCCCTCTGTCTAAGGAGATGGAAACGTACAAACCAAATGCCTGAGAAGACGTCACAAGGAGAATATCCCATCGGATCTGGGCTCAGGCAAGGCTTGCTGGAGGAAGTGACAGCAGGCAAAGACTTAGAGAGCAAGTTCAAAGTGCCTCAAGGCTTCCGTCGGCTTATTTTTATTTCTGAATAAAAAACTTTATCAATTGATTCTGACGCTTGCTCCAACACGGATGAACCTTGAGGACGTCATGCTCAGTAAAATACGCCAGTCACAGAAGGACAAATCCTGTGTGACTCCACTCACAGGAGGTCCCTGGAGGCGTCAGATCCACAGAGATAGGAAGTAGGACGGTGGGTGCCAGGGGCTGGGGAGGGGGTGGGGAGTGAGTGTTTCATGGGGACAGAGCTTCAGTGTGGGAAGACGAGAAAGTTCTGGAGATGGAGGGTGCCGATGGTTGCACAACAGTGTAAATGTGCTTAATGCCACTGAACTGTGCCCTCAGTGATTAACACGGTAAATATTTTATATATTTTTTTCCCAATTTTTAACATTTGGGGGAAAAAAGCTTATGAATTAAATCGTACCATATAAACTTAACGACAATTCGTAAAACTTGAAAAACTGAAAAGAGAAAGAAATCATTTAGGATCCGATCCCCCTAGCCAACCTGGTGGCTATTTTAAATCCAAGTGAGTTAAAATGGATTTCAACGTGGGAGAAGTTTCCTTAAAGACTCTTTCCCTGGGAACTGATAAAAAGTTGGAGAAGCAGACAGATTCGGCACACAGATGGATCTAGAAGGCCAACACGGAGTTTTAAATAGATCTATTGAAGGTTTACTGGGTGTTGAACCAATGCCCTTGCAGACACTTCATGGGGACGATGGCATTGTCTTCTCGGAACAACTAATGAGGAAGGTTGTCCCTTCAGAGACTATGGCGGTGAAGTGACTTGGCCCAGGTCACTCTGGGAGAGAGACAGGCGTCTACTCAGGATGTGAGCCCAGGAGCTAGCTGTCTACAGCCGGCACGCCTAACCACTCCCTACCCTGTCTCCCCAAAGCGTGAGTTACTTGCCAACATCTGACCTTCAGATTTTATGAAATAATCTGGAATTTTGGCTTTTCCTAGAGAATCAGACCTGGCCAGCCTGGGCCTCTGTTTCCACATGGTGATTACTGTTTGGGCCCCTTTCTCTGGCAGGGTCACGCACCTGGCCTCCCGAGATGGTTGGATTTCTGACCCCAGGCTGGGAGGCCCAGAGAGAAGAGGCTGTGAAGGCCAGGTGACCCGCCCGGCCACCACTCACTCACCTCGGCGTGTCCAAGGCCCGGATGACGGTGGAGAGGAGCCGGCCATCCCTCGAAGTCACCTGTGCCACATACTGGGGTGGCCCGAGGCCCGTGGCCTCCACGACCTTGGAGAAGGCGGGGCTGCCAGAGCAGTCGCACAGGGAGCCAGGCAGGTGGCAGCAGTCACCCGTCGTCATGGCCACAGGGAACCTCGTGTCATCAGGGCCCAAGGCCCATGGTTCCAGGAGCCTGGGGAGAGGCCAGCAGGGAGGTTAATGAGCCCAACAGACCGGGGCTCGAGTCCCCTCTTGTCAAGGCTCTAGGGACCACAGGCAAGGACTTGTCTCTCTGAGCCTCAGTTTCCTCAATCTGTAACAGGGGCCTTTGTGGGGGCCAGAGAGGATTCAATGAGGTGACACATACAACTCAGCCCAGGCCTGCCGCACAGTGAGTGCCTGGGTTATATTACATCTCACTCTCCTAAGAAAAGCTAAGCCTGCTCCTGCCATCAAAGGCCACCTTCCAGTCAGTGTCACCAATGCCCCCTCTCCAGATACGGTAACAGCACCTGACAGTTATTGAGCACCTCCTGCGTGCCAGGCCCCATGCTTGGTGTTTTCCGGGGCCAGAACCTGTCCCATGCCCACCATCCATGTACAGACTTGGCCTCCGAGGATTCAATCCTGGCAGGGGCTGGGCCTGGGGCACACGACTCTGCCTCTGAGTGGAGCAGAGCAGAGCTGGAAACTTGGTCCTACGGACCAGAATGGTGAGTCACCTGGACCCTCCTGGTTCATGGCCTTTTGCAGGACTGTGCACTCCTTGGTCGCTCAGGCCATCCAGGAAGTGGCAGATGGCTGGGGAGGACGGTGGCAGCCTCCGTCCCCACCACCGGACCAGCTACTCTGAGCCACACCTCTGTGCCTGAGGGGAGGCTATGGGAGACGGTGGGAGCCTAAGCCAGCAGTTCCAAAGTCTGCTCTGGGAGATGACGGGAGGATCCTGCCCTCTGCTCTGGGGTCTGACCAGCAAAAAGAAACTCCAGGCAGCCTCCTCCTCCGTCCCTGTGCCAGCCAATGAGGTTTGAAGAATAGCCCACACATCCCGATGTGTGTTCCCCTCTGAGAATTTCATGAAAGTAACAGAGGCCTCTCTAGAGACCTCCTTAAAGCCAACACAGGTGCCCCAGAGCCAAAGATCTCTGTCACCAACTTGTCCAACCCCTGGGCCTTTGTCTCCAGGAGCGAGAGTCCAAAGCTCCGGCAGCGGCAGGCCCTATAGCGTTGAGAAACTCCGAGTGAGGGAAGCAGACAGGTGCTCACTAACGTATCCCCCAAGACAGCTTTTACCAATTCCTGCCAGGCAAAATCCGAGCCCCAAAGCAGGGAGGAGCAGTGTACGTTATTATCATTGTTTTTAGAGACAGGGTCTCGCTCTGTTGCCCAGCTGGAGTGCAGGGGCACAATCGCAGCTCACTGCAGCCTCCAACCCCTGGGCTCAAGCGACCCTCCTACTTCAGCCTCCCAAATAGCTGGGACAACAGGCAAGCGCCACCAAGCCCAGCTAATTTTTTAAGTTTTTATTTTATAGAGACGGGGTCTTGCTATGTTGCCCAGGCTGTTCTTGAACTCCTTGCCTCAAGTGATCCTCCCACTTCAGCTTCCCAAAGTGCTGGGATTATAGGCATGAGCCACGGCACACAGCCCTGTAGGTTATTGACTAAGTTTTGCGCCAGGACACTCTGCCAATGGATCAACAGCTCTCTGGACAACTCAGCCGAAAGCCCTCCTGGCCCGATATGGCCTTCTGAGCCCCCACGGCAGGGCCTCTGTGGGGCCAGATAAGCAAGTATCAGCCAAAGGCAGGAAGAGACTGGGAGGAAGGCTGCAGGCCTGAGATAACAGCCCCAGGACAGTGGCCAGGGCTGCCGTGTCTTACATGCTGCTGTCCCTCCTGTGCACCTGCCAGCAGGACCTCCAGCACAGAGGTCAGAGGGGAAGCCACTGGGAGGTTGCCCTCCAAGGGAGCATAGGCACAGAGGAGTCCGTTCCTCCTGCCCCTCTGAGGATCGGTCTTAACACTCCTGCAAAAGTTGTGCATTACAAGAACGATCACAGCTCCTATATATTATGTTCTATCATTTCTTTTACTATCAGAAGGGAAAAAAAACCCCAGTGGTGAATCTGCTAATGCACGGTCTGCAAATGGCCAAATAAGAATTGCAGTTCCTGTTTATTAAGGACTGGGTACTGCACCAAGCAATCTGCATATGTGTTAATCATCTCACTGAGCTCTAAACAGTCGTTGTAAGTGTCCCCTTCAAAGGTCACCTTCCAGGAGGAGCCTTCCCTAGCCAGGCTGGCTGAAGTGACACTGGGGTCCACATTACTCCTCTCACGGCATGGGCCCATCTCCGAAATGCTCTACAACGCATATTCATCTACTTATTTAACCATGCATGTCATCCCGCTCTGCAGCGAACTCTGTAAAAGGCAGGGCCCTGTGAGATTGCTCCCCCCGTCCCCAGCACCTGTGTCTGGCTCAGAGTTGCTGCATCCATTGCTGCTGCATTCGTTGCTGCCGCGTTTGTTGTCGCTGCAGTCATTTCTCAGTCCCCACTCCGTGTCAGAACAGAGTGGGAGAGCCACATCTTTTGGCTCTCAGACCCTGGGCTGCCAGCCCCCGTGGCGGGAATCGGAGATGCTTAGAGGATGGAGAGGTTCGTGTAAACCACCCAGGTCTGGGTTTGGAAGAGGCCATACTCAGGGCTGGGCACAAGGAGACAGTGGCTGCAGGTTGGACTCAGCTCTGGGGCTGCTGGAATGGGGGAGCGAGCCAGTGCCTTGGGCAAACTTGGCCCAGTGCCCAGGAGACGGATTGCATAGAGTCTTCACAACCAACCAACAATTACCCCCATACGATAGATGAAAAAGCTGAAGCTCAGAGAGGGGCACCTACTTGCCCAAGGTCACACAGCTACAAAGGGACAGTGCCATGATTTGAACTTAAGACAGTCCAGTGAGTGGATCTGGGTCTTTAAGTGCTGGCTCTGCCACCGTCACTGTGTGTCCTGATTCAAGTCACTTTGCTTCTCTCAGCCCCATCCCTCTCCTTTGTCAAACATGCTGATGGAGCAGGTGGGCTGAGTCTACTGAGGGTACTCTGGAGAAGGAGCCTCCAGGCTTAATTCCTCCAGCAAAGCTCACCTTTAGCTAGGTTTGGGGTGGTACTGAGGCACCCCAATCTTTTCCATGCCTTCCCAGCCTCCAGCCTCCTTTTCCTGAGAATAGGAAACTGAGGGAAGAGGATTCAGAGGGCCCTAACTCCCTACAGTGTGATCTTGAGCAGCTGCTTCACTCTCTGAGCCTCAGTTTCCTCATGCGTAAAATGGGCATCATAATGATACCCTGTTCATGCGTCAGTAAATATTAAAAAGTCAATAAATATTCGCTCTTGTTATGATTACCTTTATCAGCTTACAGAGCTGTTCGGAAGGTTTGACCAGAGGACACACAGCACCTGGCACACAGTAAGTGCTAAATAAATGCCCACTGTTATTATGGTTTAGGATAAATATGGAGTCTGGCAAACGCATTCACTCTTCTTGACTCACCCAGAGAGGCCCCTGTGTGTCCTCCAGTACTTGATGGCTCTGCATCAGAAACCAGGTTCCAATCCCATCTCTGCTCCTTGTCTGCTCTGTGGCCCTGGGCAAGAGACTTAACCTCTCTGAGCCTTGACTTCCTCATCTGCATAAACAAGGAACATTTTTTCTACAACTTCCACCTAGTTAGTAGGGTTCCTAGAGGGCTGAATGAGCTAATCCTATCAAGGCTGACTACCCTGTTTCGAGCACCCACACAGCACACAGCATCCTGTTGGAGCATCTTTGTGCACAGTGCCTGACTTGTTATAATATTTACTATTTTCCAGGCAGAGCCCCCTGAGAGAAGGAGGTTGGGGAAGGACACTTATTGACGGACTACTGTGTGCAGGGCGCTTTTCCTCATCAGCCAGCCACCTCCTGAAATCCTCCCAGCAGCCGCATCCGGTTGGCAATGGGATGACCCAGTTTCACAGAAGGGGAAACCGAGGCTCGGAGAGGCGCCTACTGTGTGCTGGGCTCCAGATACCTCCCACCGGCCTCGAGACGGGAATTGCGGTCCCTGAGTCTCGGGGAAGGCTGCGGCCAAGAGTTCGAGCCCCGCTGTCACGCCCGGGGGGGCCAAGCTCGGGCCTGGAACCCGAGGTCAGCCCCGCAGACCGGCGTCCTCCGGCTCTACCTGTCGGCCTGTGCCTACCTGATCCGCGGCCGGGCCGGGCGGCCGCGCAGGCCCCTCGGTTCGCCCCGGCCCGGGTCCCGGCCCGGCCCGGCCCGTCAGCTCTGCTAGCTCCGCTTCAGCCGGCACCTGCGTCCGGGCACCGCCCGCCGAACCGACAGCGCCGCGGACCAATGGCTAACGCCTCTCTCCCGCATTGGCCAATCACCACTCATGTCCCGCCCCTGGAGGCGGGGCCGGAGGCGACGGGGACGACCTAGGTCGCACAGGCCCCGGGACGCCGCAGCTGTTAGCTCCGCCCCTGCCGCGTCCTGGCTCCGCCCCCAGCACCGGCCCCGCCTCAGCCCAGGGCGCGCGCGGAGCTGGCTGCGCCCCCTGCAGGCCGCCCGAGTGCTTTTTAATAATTAAAACCGTTGCAGAATTCAACTTGACACCAGGCAAAAAACGATTTGTATCTGTTCTTCACCTCCCGTACGCTTCTCATCGATCCTGGGGGAGGGAGACACCGTATGATCACATTGCACACAGGAGAGAAGCCTACAGGGGTTAGGGAGCCGTGCAGGTGACTAAAGCCAATATCATTGATTCATCATTCATTCATTCATGCAGTAGATCCATTCAACGGATGTAGTAAACATCAGTAGGGAGGGCCTGTTATGAACCAGGCGCTGTCCTAGGCGCTGGGGACACCACGCTGGGTGAGATAAAAATTGCTGCCTTTGTGGGTCTCTAGGGAGTGAAACAGAATTAGTAATAAAATTTTTAAAACATTAAAACCAGAACATTTGTTGCATCGTTGAAATTCTTTTTTTTCACCAAATGCCTGAATGAAATTCTTAATCAATTATTAATTACAAATGTGATACAATGCAGGAATTGGCGGGCACGGTGGCTCACGCCTGTAATCCTAGCACTCTGGGGAGGCTTAGGCAGGAGGATCACTTGAGGGCAGGAGGATCACTTGAGGTCAGGAGTTTGAGACCAGCCTGAGCAAGAGCGAGACCCCGTCTCTACTAAAAATAGAAAAAAATAGCCAGGCGAGGTGGTGTGCGCCTGCAGTCCCAGCTACTCAGGAGACTGAGGCAGGAGGATCTCTTGAGCCCAGGAGTTTGAGGTTGCTGTGAGCTAGGCTGACGCCACAGCACTCGCCCCGACAACAGAGTGAGACTCTGTTTCAAAAAAAAAAAAGCAGGAAGTAAGGATAAGGAGAGCGTATCACGTTATAAGAACATGGAATAATTTGGGAAGTCCGAAAATATTTCCTTGAAGAAGGAGCAATTGAGCTCCTTGAAAGGTTACTTACCTAGGAGAAAAGAGGAGAAAAGGATCCTAGGCAGAGAGTTCTGGAACACACAAAGACCCTGAGACAGGATGGAGAATTACCCAGTACTCTCTTCAGCTTCTGCCCTGCATTTATTGAATATATAGGTCTGCTCAACTACCTCAGTTAAATTCTGTTATATTGTCGTAGCCTATGTTTTTTTTATAATGGAAAAATAAATCATAACACTTTTTAGAAGATTACTTACAGAGGGAAGGAGTAGGAGGGAGGGGACAAAGGATGGAAGCTAGGCTTTTAAAAATATATCTTGTTTTATATATTTGACTTGCCATCCATGTAAATATTTTATATGCAGTCATCCCTTGGTATCCATGAGAGATTGGTTCCAGGACCTCTCTCAGATACCAAAATCCACGGATGCTCAAGTCTCTGATATAAAATGGTGTAGTAGTTGCATATAATCTATGTATATCCTCATCTTCCTGTATACTTTGTTTTTTCCTTTTTTTTTTTTTTAAGAGACAGAGTCTCACTTCATTGCCGAGACTCGAGTGCAGAGGCCCCATCATAGCTCACTGTAGCCTCGAACTCCTGGGCTCAAGCGATCCTCCTGCCTCAGCCTCCCAAGTAGCTGGGACTACAGGCACGCACCCCTACGCCCCACTAATTTGTAATTTTTTGTAGAGATGGGGGTCTCTCTCTGGTGCCCAGGCTGGTCTGGAACTCCTGGCCTCAAGCAATCCTCCTGCCTTGGGAGGAAATATATATAAAAAATATGTATTTCCTAAGTATAAGCACACTTTTCCACATAATCACAGTATAACTTTCAAAATCAGGAAATGAATACGGATCCACTATTACCACATCACTCCCAGAGCCCAGAGTTTCCAAAAATTCCATCCCAGGATCAAGTGTTGTATTTTGCTGTTGTGACTCTAATTTAGTCTCTTTCGTATTTGGAACATTTCCTCAATCTTTCCTTGTCTTCATGACCTTGATACTTTTGAAAATGACAGGCTAGTCACTTTGTAGAAAGTCATTCCATTCGGAGTTGTCTAGTATTTCCTTATGATTAAACATTTGCAGCAGGAATCGTAGAAGTGATATTGTATTCTCAGGATGCATACAATGTCGATTTCATCCTCTGTTGATTATGCTAACTTGTTCGAAATAGTGTCTGCCACTTTCTTCAGCATGGATTAGTATGTTGCACTTATTAATAAGTGCTTATGGGAAGATACTTTGAAACTAATTACATATCCTGTTCCTCAACAAATTTAACATCCACCAATTTAATATCCCTTGAAGATTCTTGCCTGAATCAATTATTATTTTGCTGGCTGCTAAATGATGATTTTCTAATTCCATCTTGGAGCACTTCCTTACTAACTTGCTCACCAAGATGTTCTGGGCTGACTCGTCTTGTATTTTCCTTGCCCCAGTCCTGGGATCAACCATTTCTCCAAGGAGCCCTGGTTTCTTTTAGTGGAAAATGATATTTAGAAACCAAGATCTGGGGCCAGGCATGGTGGCTCACGCGTGTAATCCTAGCTCTCTGGGAGGCTGAGGCGGGCAGATTGTTTGAGCTCAGGAGTTCGAAACCAGCCTGAGCAAGAGCGAGACCCCATCTCTACTAAAATTAGAAAGAAATTAATTGGACAACTAAAAATATATAGAAAAAATTAGCCGGGCGTGGTGGCGCATGCCTGTAGTCCCAGCTACTCGGGAGGCTGAGGCAGGAGGATCACTTGAGCCCAGGAATCTGAGGTTGCTGTGAGCTAGGATGATGCCACGGCACTCTAGCCCGGGAAACACAGTGAGACTCTGTCTCAAAAAAAAAAAACAAAAAAAAAAAAAACCAAGATCTGGATGCCTGGTGTACTCATTGCTACCCTGATATCAGTAATTCTGGCTTTCTCATTGTAATACACATGCATGGATATACCCATATAAGACATTCACATATCTGTCTATAAAACCATGAGTAAACACCAGTACCTCTAAACATGCCCTGCCTGTTATGTGAATTTTCTCTCAAATTAAAAAAAAAAAGAAAAAAAGCATGACACCATCAGAATGCCATCAGCAAAATTCAGATTGTGAAACTACTATATAAAGGATGCATTGCTTTAAAAAAATTTCTCCATATTTGTATGTTTAGATTTTTCCATAATAAAACAGTTAAAAATTTTTTGGTATACTTCTTCCCAGTCTTTTATATGGGTATTTTATCCATGTCTTAGAGCTTTCTGGTTCAGAGAAGGTGCTCAATAAATACGGGGAGAGGCCTCATAAGTTGGAACAGCTCTGGGTTGGAAATCTGCTTGTAATTTACTAATTGTCAGACCTTCCTTGGGTGAGTCAAATTTCTGCCCTCAGTCTATAAAATGGGGCTGGTATATTATGTCCACCTCCTAGGGTTGTTGCAAATACCAGCTAATCATGTGTCAAAGATTTAACATGTTTCCTAAAAAAAAGTAAACGTAGAATTGCCATATGAACCAGCAGTTCCACTTCTGGATATGTACCCAAAAGAATTGAAAGCAGGGACTCAGACAGATATTTGTACACTGCTGTTCGTAGTGGCATGATTCATGGTAGCCAAAAGGTGGAAGCAACCCAGGATAAATGTAATGTGGTGTGTTTCTGCAAGGGAAACTGATTCAGCCTTAAAAAGGAAGGAAATACAAACCGGGTGCGGTGGCTCACGCCTGTAATCCCAGGGCTTTGGGAGGCTGAGGTGGGAGGATCTCTTGAGGCCAGGAGTTCGAGACCAGCCTGGGCAACACAGCAAGACCCTGACTTTACAAAAAATTCAAAAATTAGCTAGGCATAGTGGTGCACATTCCTGTAGTCCCAGCTACTTGGGAGGCTGAGGTAGGAGGATTGCTTGAGCCTGGGAGTTCGAGGCTGCAGTGAGCTATGATAGCATCACGGCACTCCAGCCTGGGTAACAGAGCAAGACCCTGTCTCACAAAAAAAAAAAGAAAATTATTCTGACATATGCTATGACATGGATGAAACTTGAGGACATGCTCAGCGAAATAAGCCAGTTACAAAAGGACAAATCCTGTGTGACTCCACTCACAGGAGGTCCCTAGAGTCGTCAGATCCACAGAGACAGAAAGTAGAATGGTGGGTGCCAGGGGCTGGGGAGGGGAGCCAGTGTTTCATGGGGACAGAGTTCCAGTTAGGGAAGATGAGAAAGTTCTGGAGACGGAGGATGGCGATGGTTGTACACTGCGAATGTGCTTAATGCCATAGAACTGTGCACTTAGGAATGGTTAAAATGGTCCATTTTATGTTATGTATATGTCACCATAATCATGAAAGACTAAGAACAGAGGCTGGCACAGAGTGAGCACAACGTGCTTATTAAATCACTGAAATTGGAGTAATTAAAATAGCATCACTGCCCTGTGACTCCTAAGGGGACAGACAGCATGTTAGTCTCTGCCCCCGGCCTTGGCAAACAGAGGCAGCTCCAGAAGTATTTGATCTTTTGACTGCTCGAAACTCTTTGGGGTGCCTCATTGCTTCCCCAGGCTTCTCTGAAGCTTCTGTCCACCACACAGAGCACCCCGGATCTGTGGGAAGCGGCCCTGGAGCGTGGGGTGCCCTGGAGTGTGGGGCGCCTGGCTGTTCCCCACGCTGCCATCATTAGCCTTGGCCCTCACACACCCCGGCTCCCTCCAACTCCGGTCTCAGCAGCCCCTGGGCTCAGAGCTCCTCTGGAGTGGCTGTGTCTGGCAGTGCCTGTCCCTCCAGGCAGGGAACCAGAGCCCAGGATCAGGAGGGAGCCAGCCCGTCTCCAGCGGGCCTCCAGGTATCCAAGGCATTAAGTGGCCTCTTCAGCCAGAGGCTGGAGCTTCCCGGACAGCGGCTGGT